TACGGGATCAAGGGGAAAATGTGGAGAGTGCTGAAGAAGATGACGGAGTGTACGATAAGCGCGGTCATGCTAGACGGAGAACTGTCANTCATCACCTCCCGATTACCACAACCGCGGTGCTGCTTGCGCTGCTCGTTCATGTAGTCCACAAGGGCTTGTTCGGCGTCGACTGTCGAAGCATTCCCTCCGCTGTGAACCTGCTTGGCCTTCGAAAGCTTGGGGTTGGCGCTGACCTTCTCCCTGAGCTGCTCCTCGTGCTTCAGCCACTCGATGATACGCTTCCGAGGCACCTGGAGAACTTTCGCCGCGCCGTTGTTTCCCACCGGTTGACCGTCGCATGGGCAGATCTCCCGTGTGTAGGCCGCCGCCTTCACTTTGAACCGGATGGGGGACCTTCCTTTCCCTCCCACTGCTCCTGACCGCTCGATCGGGATGTTGGGCTCCGGGTACGCGCGTTTGCCGTTGCTGTTTTTGACGGGGTCGTTGGCGGCTAGCATCTCATCGATAGCCTCGCCGGTTGCCTTCGGGTCCACAGCGGCAGCTCCCTGATCCGCAGAGGAAGGACCGCCAGCACTAGCCTGTGAGGCCTGTGAGGCGTCGGCAGGTCCCGCGCTTGCACCCTCCGACATCGTAGCCGCGCGTTGCGTGTGGTCGAGCCCGCAGCTCCGTCCCGGGCATTTTCCCGATTTTCCGCCGGTATTTCTCCGCCACGGAACTCTTGTGGTGGTGATTCCTCGAGACTCGTTTGTGTATGCCGCTACTAGCTTGTCTGTTGGTTGTGTTTTGATCGTGTTGCAGCAATACGATACATGCGAAGTGCTGCTACTGTATCCCCTGTGGTTTTCAATGTTAGGATCGCACATATCGGGGTCTTCGCACAGGGGTGGGCGTTCGAAAGTCGCCGAACCAGCCGCTTTGGATTTAAACAGCACCGCACATAACGGGGTCTTGGCACAGGGGTGTGCGTTGTTTCTTAGACCCAAAATACTTACTGCATTTCCGCACAGGTATCGCGAACTTGGCGCATATCGGGGTCTTCGCACACCTGTGCAAAAAAGTCTGGAGTTCGAAACATCTTAAAAAGCGACCGCACAGTGAGCCGAGACCCCGATGATTACGGTAGTGGCAACGACACCGCTGTCTTCCGTCTTTAAGGTCTAGAGATGAACAGCTGTCATCCGTCTTTGAGGTCTAGTGATGAATGCGCACCGTACGGTAACGTACCTGGTATGATAGGCTACGGCAGTACGGTACGGAGTGCGGAGTACTGATGCACAGCAGTGCCGCCGCAGTCTTGCGAAAATGGACGCAAAGTTCCGTCCCGCAAAACGGATATCAGGACACAACACTCGTGCACAAGCGAACAACCAATGCAAGGCGTGCGAGGGCGAGGACAAAAACGGGGCGCTTCTGCTGAGGTACGTCGTTGTCTCGTTTGGAAGTGAGGGGGGCTGGCCTGCAACGCCGAAACGAGACACGAGATACACAAACCAAGACCTTCGTCCCCCAGAGCACAAAGCGCGTATAATCATCCCAACAGACGATATGCAAATATGTGCGTCGGAGAGAATCACAAATGTCAAGAGACACACGAAGCAACCGTCCTTTAGATTCCCGATGCCTCACCCTTCCGCTGTTCCGCACATCTGTCTGCCCATCGCCCTGCGTTTCCGACAGCACCCACGTGTCGTCGTCGCTGTGCGTGGTGTACAGGCGAGAGCAAAAGTAAGGCACGTTGCATTGGTTGGTGCACAGTTACATATGTACCTGTAAGGCAGACATGAACATTCTGCGGAACCCCTCGAGACGTCGGCTTGAAGCTGTGAGCTGTGCGCTGGAAGCTATCAGCAGACTGCTCTGTGCTGGTGCTGGTGCGTCCTCTCCGCATTCTCTGACAATCCCGATGCTGCTCGTTTGCGTAGTTCTTGCCTCTGTGCTGGCCCAGACTTCCAGCTTCTTGACACCGTTTCCCGTTGGCGCCAGCAGAAACAGCAACTCTGCCATCAAGGTAAGCTTCGTCGAGACTCCTGGTATGACGCATGTTTGTAGTTTGTTGTTTGTGTCGAAAGACTCTCCGCGACTCCAACCCGTTTTATGCATACATATGCCTACTGCTGCCTGCATCATCCATGCTGTAGCAGCAACCTGCCCGTACGACGCTGTTGATGCATCAACCGGTCTCTTAATGACGTTGGGCGCGGGGAGGATCATGGGTTATCCCCCCCCCCCGTCTTAGAATCTAAGGAAGGAATCCAAGGATAAGGAGGGTCTACAAGTGTTCGGAATGTTGAAGGAAGGAATAGGGTTCAAGGATTACTTACATACATGGACCAATGGATGCAGGAACAAAGCTTAAAGCCAACTTCAGGACCTGGGACATAGGTCTTCGAGAACGTCGACGAAGACATAGGACGGTAGACGACGAAGACGACGAGTTCAAATGTGATTGCGGCTTCGAATGCGAAAACCGTGTTCATGTAGCCGCGGAATGTCCTTTGCACAAGGAGAAGGAAGTGTACGTGACTGAGCTGGGAAAAATAGGTGGGACGTACAGGGAGATGTTTGAGGCATGGAATAGAGAGGAAAGGACGGTAGCTGTACTGGGGCATAGGAGGTGGGTTGAAAGGGCGGGAAGGGATATCGTTAGGGTAGACAGACTAGGGAAGACATTTTTGAGCCACCTTTGGCAAAGTAGGAAGGAACGATTGGCCATCGG